TCCCTACACTGAAGTGGTAGAATTTCCCCCAACCTTCCCTTTGCTCTTCTAGGAGAAAAGAGGAAGGGAAAAATCATCTACAAAAATGACTGTTCCTTTCTCTAATGAATGGTGAACTCCAATGACACCCTGGGTGCTAACCCATACTGACCTTTTTACTGTCTCCATCTCCACCCAAACCTAGGGGAGAAGACTTGATTGCAAATCAACTGTAAAACCAGTGCCTGCAGTAGGGGAAGCAAACAATTTTCTTTCTCTAAGCAAAGTTCCTAACCAGGGGGATGTACCAATTTTTTTGCCCAATCTTTTTGCCCAATTCTTCCTGCAGATTTGGTTTCTACCAGTTGCATAAGCATTTGCTAGGTACATCAGTCTCCTATTTTACCACAACTGGCAGCTTCCTGGCTTTTGTGTACCTCTTCCCCAGACCCTTTCTTTCCCAGATGTTCACATGAATTATTTTGCTGAGGATTTCTGCACCAATGGGAAGAGCTTCATACAGTGAAGAGCTGGAGGGCGAATCAGCTGCCCCTAATCAAATAAAGCTACAAGTTCAGCATACCTATCAGAGGAAAAGGCAGACAAGAAAAATAGGTTCCCCAGGGGAATGGCCACCCTTTAAGCTCTGCAACCCCATCTTCTGCATGGCTGCATGTGTGGGAAAGCTTGTGTTCTACTAAACACCCCCCACTTCATATTCCGATTCCATCGACTTCACCAGGGTCTCATAGTCAGTGCTTTTTCTCCTGCTGAGTTTCTCAAAGTCAATGTTCTCCACTGGGTCAGTCACGTAATTGTTTTCAACACCGAAATGTACTTCCTCATAGAGGCACCCACCACTCTCTCTTGAGCAAGTCTCTCTCCTCTGGCTGTTTATGCAGTTACGACTGGAAAAGAAAAATAAAATAGTAATGAGAGGGAGGAGCCACGAGATTCTCATTATTGCCCTGCTGGCCTGGATTCTTGTCTCATTTCCCTCAACATAAACTGGGAATCACTCCACTTGCTTCAGTGGAATGACTCTAGATTTATCTCTGAGTAGATGAGATCAGACTCTGGTCCTCTGCTGTTTGAGAGGACTCCAGATGTTAATCCAGGGACACTTTGGGAAGCTACAGCGGATGTCTACCAGGGACATTTGGTAATAAGAGAATAAGACACAAAGAAGCAGTAATCCAATCGGTAATTCTGAGGCCAGTTTGCTGCTAGCATTATCACACTCAGTAATACCAGTAGAGAATTTGGCCCTTGAAAATTAAATCAACTACCAATTATTGAACAAATGACAACTGAAAGGCCATGTACAACTTGCAATATAGCCTGTAGCTGTTGACATCTTTAAAATTAAGGTGCAATCAATAAAGACTATGTCTGTCATGAAATGTATTAAACGGATCCGAATTTGACCTTTCCTTTAACACAATCCATACAAACTTCCTTGGCAGAATTTTTTTTTGCAAAAATCTAGTTGGTCTAATAAAAGATATCATCTCTACCATGAGTCCAGATTCTTTTTGGCAGAATAGTGCACTGTAACATAACACTGCAGAGAGATCATTTCATTTGCCTTTGAATATGTAGTTCCACCTAACATTTTGCTTTGATTGTCAGGATTTGCAAGTTTGCAGCTTGTGTGCATGAATGGGAGAGCAGCATCCCGAGATTCATGTTTAAGATTAGGATGAAGCAAGAAGTTATTAACTAGGAATAAGGGGGAGGAAGTTCAGAAAAATACAATTTTGGATAAACATTGGGAAAAATGTCTTAAGACCCATGCAATTCTCTTCAAATGTACCATGAAAATATTCAACCTCATTTCCCATATAACTAAACAAACCACTCATTTGTCACTTGTCAAATAGTTGTGCTGCCACAATCTTAACTATTGCAACCCAAGAGTTTCCTGCATTGGTAAGAAGAAATTTCACACTCACTATGTTACATCGTAGAGGTGATCTGAAACAGAATCAAACATAAATGTTGGTATTTTGCATTTTCTATAATTTTTTTAACCTATTTTAATGACCATTGAAAGTAGATATTATCACTGACTCTCATAAAGCACCATCATTTGTCATAGTTTTGTATAGATATTAATTAATGAATCCACTCAAGGACATCATTTGGTGGGGAAGTATTGTTAATCCTGTGTTCTAGATGGGGCAAATTGAGGCAGAGTTGTTAACTGACTCATCCTAGTTGGGATTAAAAACCAAGAGATCCTAGCTCCCATCCTTGTCCTTTCCTCATTAGGTCACGGTGCACCCCCTTGGATGACACTTCTGATTGACAATGATACCTTCGCAGTTATCTGACACCGAAGTAACCCTTACCAAAATGTTCACTGAAACATTCTTTTTGTGGGGCCTGGACACACTGTGCCTACCCAGAAAAAACCCAAACTAACATTTGAGGAAACAGGCAGAGGGATTATGATTAACTGGGCAATTCCTTTCTTGCATAGAATATGACCGCCCTCTGGTGTTCATTTCTAAGAAGTGATCTCACTTGATTTGTTTTCTAAAAGTGGTATTTTAGCAGACAAGGTTCTTTGGGTGAACCTGATATCTTTTATTAGACCAATTTAAATAGTTGGAGAACATTTTTTAAGCAAGCGTTCAGGTTCAAAAACCCTTTGTCAGGCTAAAGAAGTTTCAGCAGTTAAAATTGTTCTCCAACTATTTAAGTCGGTTTAATAAAAGATATCAGATTCACCCAAAGAACCTTGTCTGCCTATGTCCTTAGACCAACATGGCTACAACCTACACCCCTGTATTTTAGCAGTGTTTTTATTTAGTTAGTTCAGTGGTTCTCAACCTTTTCAAGGCACCCCTCAGAAAACGCCAGCTCTTTTCTTTACTCAAGAAAAATAACAGAGCAATTCTTATGTTGCAAGGAAGGCAGAAAGACCACAACAGGTCAGAACATTTTTAATAATATGGATTCCTATTTGAAAACTCTGGGTTTATTTTGTGAATCATGTTTGCCTACTTAACAGTGCCAACATTGCATGGCAACCTGTGGTACCCTTGAAAGGATCTCAAGGCCCTGCAGGGTGCCATAGCACCCTGGTTGGGAATCACTGATTTAGTCATTCATGCATTGGATTTATATACTGTCCTTCCCAAGAAAGGCATGTCAGATTATACCTTTCAGGCTACATACGAGTGTTTAGTATATGAATCTTGAGAAAGGTATATGAATCTGGTGCATACCTCGGAGGAGTGCAATGCAATTAATGCCTTGCTGGGAAGATGCTATCTGAGTGAGAGAGAGACACCCAGCATGTGCATCCAAGAGGATCTTTTCCTTCACCTCCATATAGTTCACAGTTTAGTCCCATGAGTCCACATACAATTTCATTCAAATGCTTTGATTAGATAACTTGAGGTTTATAGGCAGATCTCAAAGCTGCAAGGGAGTGCCAGAATATGAGCCACAGGCATCTATCTCAGGAGTATGGGATGCAAAGCCAGCCTGTTCACACAAAACAACCCAAAGTACACTGTGTGCCCTACTCACCATTTTTGGTTTTTCTTCTGCACAAGATGACAGCAATGACAGAGACAAGCACAATGGCACAAAGCACAGCAATTGGGATAATGAGATACAGGGGTAGGCCAGTTCTCCGGGCACCTAGATGTAAACAGAACAGGTTTTTCAAACAAGAAGCCAGTTATGATTTTCAATTAAAAGCAGAAATTAGAGCCATGATGATGGACATTTTCCCTGGAGGCTGACTGTGCTGACTGAGGTGGAATAAAGCCCCATGGATTGGAAGCTGAGAAAGACAGCACTATTTAGGGGACCCTCTAAGCAAGCAGGATGTGTCTATACTGGACTGCTACTGGAGGCCATGTTTAGGGGATTACACTTTAGCTGGCTGTTGGGCATAGGCTTGAGGACCAACCTACAGTTGACCCTAACTCTCCATGTAAGTCCTGTACACTGCAGCATAAAGCACTGTTTCCTAGGTTTAAACGAACCAACTCACATACTGGATGCAACACAAAACTCCAAATGGGTCAAGGGGGTGACATTAGCCCAAGAAGAGCTCTGTACTACTACTGCAGGTATCTCATCTGCACCCCTGAGTGAGACCCCTGGAAGCAATCCAACCCAGCCCAGGAAGTTGAACATCCAAGTATGAGATTGATGCTATACATCCTCACCTCTCAGCCTACACCTTTCTGTAATGTGTTTGGCATTTACTGGGATGTGCAGGCCTCAAGCACAGGAAATCTGCCTGCAGTAATTCCACAATTACTTCTTCCTGACTTATGATACCTCTGCACTCCCCCTTCCTCTTTCTACTGCTCAGAGGTAGAGATAAACCCAGAAGGAGAGACAAGTAGACTTCAGAGAAAATCACAGAAGGGTTCCCCAAGGGAACCTGATGTGCATCTCAGTGCCACACTCACGAAATAAGTAGCACAATGTGGATAGGTTTGGTGCAGGCTATGGAGTAAGAAATAGATGGGAAAGGGCTGTTCACATGGCTCAGGTTGGTTTTGGGTGACTTCATGGTTAGCCCTCAATGGTACTGTAGAAAATCCAGAGCATCACATTTAAAAAATGTACTCCTGAGAAGCAGGGCAAATTAACCTGCATCGGGCTCTGTGTAACTGTGGCTGTGCTGCTTTTCAACAACTTGATTAGAGCTGGCTTGGATATCTCTACATTGCTCTACAGTGTGCAGTATAGACGCACCTCAGAATCTGAGTGCAATGTTCTCAAATTGTTGAGCCAAGATACAGTTCCCCTCAACAGCTCCACACAAGTGCCAGGTTTAGTCCTCCTCCTGGACACCTGACCTCCCTGTCAACTCCTCAGAAGCCCTTCACTTACCTCCAGTCAGGGTTTCACTTTCCACATCATTCCCAGAATCCACTGTTGTACTGAGATCTGCAAATCAAGGCAGAGCTAGATTTCCAAATCTACAGGTTTCCAAATCTTCTTTTCATCATCAGAAAAAAAAGAATTTGGTCTAAAAGAAGTAGTTGTGGGACTAGAGGACACTTCCCCAGTTGCCTAAATAATCAGTGAAATACCCTTGGAGTTGGGGCTGTCTTGGTGAGGGATCTTTCTGGGCTGGCAGGGTGCCCTGGTCCTGCTTGTGGTTCTGTGGTTGCTTGAATAACCCATTCTTGACTATTTAACTACTATGCAAAGCTTCTACTGGGGTGACATGCTTAACCTGTTCCAGGATTAACAAAGGACTTCTTTCCCCTGACGCTCTGGCCCTGGCCCAGATGTGCAGTCATGACCACACAGCCCAGCCACACACTCCACACACTCAGTGCCGGTTGCAGGTCCCCCTTGTGAGCCAGCATTTTGAGAGCATAGACATGGTGATGCTAGCCCATCATGACACCAAGGACTTGGCAGCTTGCATATGGGCCACTGAGCACATCCAAAGCTACAGTTATGGAGGCCACCTCAACTTTCCACTTAGCTCCACTTAAGGATTTGCAGCAACTGTAGCCATTTCCTGTCTCTCTGTGAAGTTTCTTCTGCTATCCTATGGGCTGTTTCACTTCAGACAGCAGAACTACAAGGCAACTCCAAGATATAGGAGTTACAAAAGCAGGATTTATGCCCCCTCCATAACTTCATGCCAACCACATGGAGCTAAATAAATCCATGACTCCCCTAGGTATGACCCTCCCAGATGTTAGACTAGCTGCCATCTCATGGAAGCTGTCACCTACTAGTCCAGCAGCCTAAGAGCATGTCTGGCAGAGGGGCATGGTCACTTTCAAGCCACCTGCCCTCTGCCAGCCTGAGATGCAGATGCCATTTTTAATATCAGTAAGTAGACTTGTCAAATCACCCCTTCATCTATCTCCCTTTCCCTCTTTGCATCATTCACACACAATCGTGATGAAAACAGCACTTCCAAATTGTTTTCTAATCAGCAGTCAGCAGGCCTCACCTCTTTCAAAGATAGGTGTGGTTGTGGTGTGCACTGTAGCCTCAGTACTGGGTACTGTGGTTGTGGTTTCTGTGAGCTCTAAGAAAGAAGTGACCGTGTGTTAAGCTACTTCCAGCCCCACAATTACCAATCTACAAGTAAATGCAGAGTCATATGGCAGAATCTGTAAACCTCCCATAATGCAATACTGTTTCAATGAAGGGTGAAGACTATGTCTGATCTCACCTAGTGACTGACTACCCCAGAAGAACAAGCACCGAGAGTCTTTGTGGTTTCATCCTTAACAGTGGGGCTGAAGACATGGCTCATATTCTATGTGAATATGAGTCTAATTCTGCTTTAACCTGATGGATCTATTTAGCTCAACAATGTTCTGCACAGATTAGACTAGCATTAGTTGTGGGCATTTACCTCTCACAGTCAGCTGCACCGCATCACTCTGCTGAGAGACAAGGGACCTGGCTCTGTTCTCTGCGTCACAGTAGTATTTTCCTGCATCTGAGTTTTGCAGGGGGTCAAACACAAGTTCGGCTTGATTGCTGAGGTGCACTGCACTGCCTCCCGGCTCCCCCTTGAACCATCGGTAGCTGATGGGTGGGGACCCTCTGGCTGAGCAGGTCAGGCTTGCCCTAGCTCCTTCCAGCACAGTGAGTCCCAGATGACCAGGCGTGATGATGGGTTTGGACACCGCAACTGAAAGGCAGAGGCAAAGGGGTTTGGTTCTGAGCAGGCCCACAGTCCTGGGATTATTTAGACCAGCGGTTTCCAACCTTTTTAGACCATGGACCAGCAAACCATGGCCCAGCAAACCACAGACTGGAAGTGTACTGCGGCATACTGTGGACTGGCAGCCAACCCTTTTTTATACTTTTTTTATAAAAAAGGGTTGGCAACCGGTCCGCAGTATGCTGCAGTATGCCGTAGTATGCCAGTCACTTCTAGACTTCTGGTCCGGCAGCCAACCCTCCTGCGGACCGGCAGCCAACCCTTCACAGCCCAATAGCAGGCTGCGGCCTGAGGGTTGGGAACCTCTGATTTAGACCCAAGAGGTTGGTATTTATGGAGAAAGAAGCCAGTGCAGGACTAGCTCCATGTCTGTTCATGCCCTTCTCTAGAGTGAACAGTCATTGGTGTTACATTACCCCCTTCCATACAGAGTTTCTGAGCTCAGGTCACGGTTGTCTTGTGACCAGCTGTACCAACTTTGCTAGCACAATGCAGCTTACACCCCAAGAATGCTCTCTGGACCATCTTTCCGCCTCTCCAAAAATCCATGCAAAGGGAGGCATGGGATGCATAGGGGAAGTCCTAGAGGGTGCAGCTGGGGAAACAGTTTATCCCAGCCATTCCCTAGCTACTACAAGACCCATAGAGACATTAGCTAAATAGAATGGGGGTCAAGCTGGCCACAGGCAGACACAGAACTGGGCAGTCACAAACCATGTCCCCAAATCCTTGGACTAGTCTCTGTACTGTCCTAGACACAAATTGTACCCTCCGAGTCATTTTTTCATTTGGGAGGGTGAGTGGTTAGAAAGAGGCACTGGGAATCACCAAGAAGGCACCTGAAAATTGATGCAAATGCTGGCCCCAGTCCTGTGGTGTGGGGCAGTGTAGTGACCCCCTAACAATGAAGATGGCTGTACAGCCTAGTTCTTTAGAGAAAAGCTATGCAACTGTCAGGTTATATTACTAAATTTACCTTTAACTACTCTAATTGTGGTGGTCATCTCCTTTGTAATCAGGTTGTCATTCTGGGTTCTCCAGGTGACTTTGCAAGTGTAGTGTCCACTGTCTGGGATTTCAAGCTTCTGAATTTGAAGAGAGACATCACCTGGGGGAAATTTTGGTACAGAGACTCGGTCTCTGTACCGTGACAACAGGATGTGATCACCAGAGCCATCCCTTCGAAAGACAGTAACTGGGTTGTTATCCCTCTCCATGGTCCAAGCAACTGTTTGTTGCTGATAGTTCTCCAAGGGCACATAGACGCACTGCAAGGTGGCCGAACTCTTCCATGTCCCTTCAATTTCATGGGTGCCATTCAGGTCCAGGATGGCTGCAGGGAGCAGGAGATAAGGGGTGGACATAAAAATCACACAGAGGTAAGAATAGCATCAACACCAAAGGATGCAGGAGGTATCATCGGGTGAAGTCCACCAACCCACCAGAACAGTCAGTCATCCTTGACAACTAGGATCAACACCAAAGGATGCTGGGCGTACTCCAGACAGAGTCCTGTAAGCCACAAGTCACAAGCACAGTCAGTCATCCATAAGCACCGCATTGTTTGGGTTCTTTGCTCTTGTCATCTGATTTTAGGTCTAGTGGTCACACACTGGAGTACTAAAGATGTATAGGGAGTAGATCCTCCTCTTGCATCTTTGGGTCTCTAACGTCCTAGACTAACTGACATCACAGGGAGTTTTGCCTGAGAATGAGTTAAAGGATTTAGGACCTCCAACAGTTAGAACTTTATCAGTTGGGGAAATTAGGAGGGATCACCGTGCTAAGGTGGATAAAAACACTCACTTGGATTCTTTGGAGGATGATTCTACCCTAATCCTTTCATTAAGTTTGGTGCTAAACCATGCTGTCTTTGAGCAGAGTGGTGATGAACCCTAGGATTGAAAGGGGAAATGGAGATATTCTCATACAAAAGCCAGAGAACTAACTCTTGGATTTGCAGCAATTTTAAGAAACAGAGAGTTTGAAAAGAGGAAGTCGTGAGCACTGTAGCGCTATATAGGACCTTTTCCACTGGGAAGAGCTCCATTCAAGGGATGGTTTCAGAAGTCAGGAGACTAGCAAGAGCCAAATACAGTCTGAAACAGAACATTTTGTCTCATACAGTTAAACGTTTGTCAAACCTAGAAGCAACAGAAAACAGCATCTGGTAATGGGAAATTTCTGACAATTTTAACAATAGGCAATGCTACCAACTCCACTGTTAAGATGAATGGTAGTTCAGGTACAGTGTCTGAGGAAGACAGAAGGAAAATGTTCATGTTAGGTTGGGAAACTTGAAAGATGGTCTTTATGGAAGGCAAGAACCTGAAGCAGTGTAGTCTCCTCAACTAGCACCATTCAAACAGGGCCAGACCTTGGGAAGTAGTCAATATTGGCACTTCACAAAGAAAATGAGCTGGCCATTGTCTCTTGGTGTGCATGGAATATTTTTTAATGACAAATCGCACATTATTCTGACAAGCTGAACTTTGAGGGAACCACATGGCTTAAAAAACAGTTAAATATAACTGGAAACTTTTAACACCATAACCCATAAGTCTATATTTCTTGGAGCGAAATTCCCTTCAAGGAACCTTCAAGGCAGGCTCATTCTTATAGGTAAATGATCATACTGAATTACTCTTTGGTTTGTGTGTCAAAGTATCTAGATACAGTATAGAGAGAGAGAGAGAGGAAAAATCAGCACTGTAGTCAAAACAGATCAGAGGCATGATGCAAACATGCCAGATCCTGACTTCTCTTCTATAATTAAAAATGTCCCTTAGTCATTTAAATGATTTCTCAAATGCCTTTCCTGCTGCTCAGTTCTGAGAGGATAGCCATGCAGGCTGAAGTCTAGTTAGCAATTTAACAGTGATGGCACATCTCTGCTAGATGAAAGGAGGGGAATAATTTCCTTGTTCCATGTTCCGTAGCCTCTCTGCTGAGGGAGTCAGAAATCTCATACCACACACAGTGGAAGTTTGCTTTTGATGTGGGCACCCTTTCCTTTTCTAAATGACTTCTGATTAGGCAGACACTGCTTTGTTCCCCAGGTCACACCTGCCACACAGATCATCCTATAGCCTGATACAGCTCGTTCAATTGCCTCCCCCCCACTCCCTTTCCTCATTTCAAAAAGTCAGATTACAAAAAATAGGCAGAGGGAAGGAGATGCATTTAGAGACTGCTCTATACGAGGCAACTTTCCTGTTTAGTTCTGTTACTCCGCTCACTTCTGGTATTCCTTTTTTACTCTTTCCTACATTGCCTGGCTTGTTAAATGTGAGTTTTTTAAGAGCTGTTATATTTTGCTCAGCATTTGCTGCAGTTTGGTGAGTGATTTGATTCTTGCTTACAGTGGTTTACCCCAAAAGGTGATATTACTTGAAGTAGGGGGAGAAAGAGAACAAAAAGCAATTGAAGCTGATGT